ACAATGATGAACAACCCATCAGGGACGATTTGAGAGAAAAAGCCTCCAAATTCCCCTTCAGATACATGTTGATTGTGTTTATTCATGGCAGTTAGGTTGATGAGGGAGCAATATGGAGGAGGTTGTATGGACACTTGTTACGCGTTACCGTTAAAATAGCAGACATCTCTTGACGAAGAACAAACAGCAAAGGCAGACTGAAATCAAGGCGTCCGTGAAAGCTCTCGGGAATGCAAATTCAAAAGCACTTCATTACTTGCTTTTTCCCTGCAATCTTGTGTCTGAGAGACTGAACTAAGTGGTTAATCAAAGCAAAAAACCAAACTGTGTCTGAGGGGCCAGAGAGGAGACACCTCTGCTCACAGACAAGGCCAAGGCTGTGTATGGAAGTGCATGTGAAAATACACAATAGTGTGTGTGGTTTGAATCTACACCAGATCAGAAAGATCTAGATAGCTAAAAGATAATTCCCATGTACTACTAGTTATTGTGAAATAATCCCTTCTTCGTCTACCCTGAAATCATTTTTGGACGATACAAAGCTTAACAGCAGTATGGTTTCACTAGAGCGAGGAGCTTAAGATACAAAGTTTCATTGCATTGTTCCAAATGGAAACATAACAAGCCACGTTGTTACTGAGCAGTGAAAAATTCTTTAATCAAACACATTGTAAGCTTTTAGTCTCCCTTTCTCTGTGTGTCTCACACACTTACATGAGTTACTGTCTTTTAACCTATTTTGTAGTTAACAAGAGCGCAAGCCCCTCAGCACCATGGATAAAAAGATGAAAGTGGCACGACTGTCACACGTTTATAGAACATGTGAATTGAATATTTCACATGTTACTAGTGCGTTGAGCTAAATGCTAACAGTAGCATTGTAAAACGCTCACAATGCAAAAAATGCTGATGTTCGGCAGGTATAATGTTTACCATGCTCAACATCTTAGTTTAGCATGCTAACGTTCGCTAATTATTTAGCTCTTTACACAATGTAGGCTACAGCTGAGGCTGAAGTGAATGTTATTAGTTTTTTTGCAGGTATTGCTCATTGAGGTTTATGACACGTTCAAGGGACAGTGTGTATGATTTGGTGGCATCTAGCCAAAATACCATTCCGCTCGCCTCTCCCTTTTCAAGACTGTGGTAACGCTAGCAGCCGAGGGCAAAGCCGTGCTAACGCCGTTAGCATCCCTTTGGGGGTGGATGTCTATGCCAAATTTCAAGGCAATTCATCCAATAGTTGTTGAGACATTTCACTCAAAAACACAAACATGAACCTCATGGTGGCACTCAAGGAAAAGTTAGGGGATCATCACAGTCATTAGGATTCATCCTTTGAGAATCATGGATGTCTGTACAAAATGTCATGGCAATCCATTCAACAGTCTGGACCAAATTGGTGGACGGACCACCTACTATTTTTAGCATTGCTAAAAATGTACCATGACTTCACATAATATTAGAGGCTTCTGCCAGAAGTTGAGACGTATCCCTCACAACATACCACCCACTTTCTCAAAAACGTTGTAAATAAACATAATTGACCTTACATTTTCAAATGATCTCTATACCCTGTATGGTATTAATACTAGCAGTAGTACCTCAGGAGCAGTGTGACAGCTGAAATGAGACAGAAGAGATACTGTCTGTGTTTTCTGCTTTTATTATTTAGACATCGTCCTCATCAGAATAAGAATTGCATCCAATATCTTGATTTCTTTGTGGTTACATGAGGACGCGGTTATGCGATTATATGAGGTTCTGTCTGTCACATGCAATTCAAGACATCAGACAAAGCCAAGGCCAGATACTTTTACCAACTGCAAGAAGCATTTAAGGAAGATAAGGCTTGATTCGATGCAGCTGTACTTTCCATGCAAGGAGTACATTCATGTAGTGCAAACAAAACAACTGAAAAAAAGGAAATACTGCTCTCTAAGACAGGAGTGCCAAGTGTTAAAAGCATTAAGGGGGAATCCAGGAAATTAGAAAAACTCCAAATTTGCTGATGGCTTAAGATAGCATAGAGGCTCTTTCACACATACATTCCGTAACATTAACTGAATAAATTGACTGAACTATTCTGGTAGAGGCAGCAGCTGCTCTTGTTCACATAACCAAGGCCTTAACACGATTTTAATGCTATGTGACCGTTCACACACCAACATCATTGGACATTAGAGTCCTCTGCTGTCTGAAATTGCATGCGATTTCTTTCAGAGAGTGGTAGTATTGTGCATGCTGTGGTGACGCTTTCCCTCATGAAATTTGCCAAATAATTTTTGATCATATTTTACGATACTTTTTGTAATTATGTTGAAAAAGGCGCAGCACATCTTCTCAGAACCCACGGTGACATCTTAGAATTGCTCGTTTTGTTCGATCAACAGACCAAAATCCCCAAAGTATTATATTTACTGCCGTAGAAGACAGAGAAACCTGACAAATATTCACATATTTTTGTCGCAATTGCTTAAGAAATTATGTAAAAGGTTGATCGATTATAAAAAAATTGTTGCTGATAAATTTTCTGCCATCGACCAATCAATTAACTAATTGTTTCAGCTGTTTATCGATGTTGTATTGTCTACCTAATACAGATACTAGTGGGATTATCATAATTTTTAAAGAATGATGTCTGCAGGGTTTAAATCAGCCTCAGTAATCTCCAGTGTATCCAAAATCATGCAATGCACTTGACACATTACCATGATTTACTTATGACGTAGGGGTTTCTCTCCCTGATCTTGTTATTGTCCGATAGAGGGAATGTGCAGAATGCGAGTGTGTGAGGGAACTCAGCCGGAGCTGACACTCGACATTAGATTCATGGGTGAAGATTATGACCCAGGCAGAAATGGAGAAAAAGAAGGACAGCAAAGCCAATGCCAATGGGAGAGACAAGAGGTGGAGAGAATGGAGAAGAGGCCATGAAGTGAAATGGGGTGTTTGATCTCCCCAAGACAGGTCACGTTTTACTGGTGGAGTATGAAGGAATGGACACCTGCAGCTGCACCGAGCTTTCATTATGGCCGCACAAAATGGAAAAGCAGACAGCTGCTCATTGTGATCTGTGTATTTACTTATCCCGCCACCATTCTCTCTTCCCCCTCTTTTTTCTTCAAATACTTTGAGCAACACACTCTGAAAATCTCACCTAAGTCTACACTCTTTGTCCAAAAGTTTCCTTGAGAGGCACTTGGTTTTACTCCGGGCCTCTGTTGTATCTTCAAATGCCTGTTTTCCTTTATTCTAATCGATGCACTCAGTGCAGTGGAAAGGTATCCGCCTGCAGACACAAAATAAGAGCCTCTGAAATGAAAACCCCCCCTCTTTCAGATGTCAATTGTATGTGGCTGTGTCTTAGTCTGGTTTACCTGTGGTTATTTGATCATGACAGCATGCGACGGTGTTTGATTCCTGGGGTACTTTGACAGTTTGCAGGCTGGCAAAAGGCCCTCCAGTGTCTGAAGTTAGATCAGAGGAGATGGGCCCTGAAAAGCAGGCGTCCAGCTGGGAGAAGATCAGAAGAGACACAAACTTTAGCGAGAGCCATTGTGAGGTACACAGCGGCTGCTGGCTCCCATAACTTTTCCTTTTGTATGTTTTTTTCATATTGCTCTCTTCTCCCTCTCTTATCTTCTGCTCAGAGTGTTGAATGGCTCAGTTAAAGGTCTGTCAGGTTTTTATCTGATTCTGACAATAAAGACACGCTGTATTTGTTCCCTTTCTCAGGTGTCTCTTGGGGTTTAAGGCTGGTCTGTGTGTGTGTGTGCGCACATTCACAATGGTGCGCCTCAACTTTACAGTATCAGAATAATGCCATGAAGAAGTTGCAGTCAAAAATATTAAAGAGTAATTAAAAAGAATATTATCTCCAACATTACATGCAGGCCAATGAACTTACCCAAGGCTTGTTCCAAGAGCATTTTTATATGAGTTAAGTTAAATCAAATATGTGTGCACGAGTTTTTTGAGAGCCTTGAGTGAAATGAAACAGTACTGATCATTCATCTTAGCCACTGTAATTACTGGCCATATTAGATAATGTATGAAATGATGTGATTATTTTACTTAGGAGCCTCCGTTGTGTACTCTGAGGAGATGCGCTCATGTTTGGTAAGTGTGGCAATGGTGCACTCTAGTGGCACAATAACAGAACCATCAAAAACTTGTAAAAATATGCAAACGGCAGGTGTTATTTCTGGATCTCGGGTTCAATTACCGGTGGACTGGGGACTATGTTGGGTACTTTGAAATCTCAGGAGTCCCCAATAAATGAAGGCCACCCTACAGGACGTATAGAAAAGTTTAAAATAAAAAAGCTTCCATACTGCAGGTATGAAATGCATTAAGACGTATGGTTATTATTATTTACTTGTATGTAATATGTGTGTTTCATACATAGGCCTGAGATAAACTGGGAAAAATATACCAGCCCTAATATGCTTTAGGTTTGCTGTGGAAAGGGTTTCAAATAAGCTTTGTCAAGGTCTTAAAGAGCATTACATTAGTTTCTTTTCACAGACTGGTCCAAATGATTGCATCCATGCAATCGGCAGCCTCCTAAATAACAGTGGTAGGTGGAAAGTATCTAATTATATTTAATGACAGATTCATTTTTGAGGGATTAAGATTTTACACACAAAACATATGAATAACAATTAAAATGAGATGCATTATTATTGATTCAACCAGCTGTAAATGAAGTAATAATTCAAACTAGTTACAGATGAACATACATGTGCAGTTTTGTGTTAAACATATATCCTCAAAATGGGACCATAATTTACCAAATGAGCATCATGCTGTCTGGAAGAAGACATGATTAGCGGTTTGGATCATAAACTCATGTTGACAATATTTACTGAGAGGTTTAGGGTCATTATTAAGTTCGTCTTCTATACAATCGAATGTCATTTGGCGACCAGTGGAGTCGCCCCCCTGTCGGTTATTAGAAAGAATACAAGTTCAAGGCACTTCCGCATTAGCTTCGCTTTCTTTCCAGAACCGGAGCTTGTTTCCCCCGCTGGATCTACGCATTTGTTCCTTCTCCTCGACTGTCAACGGTGCATTCAGGGTCTGCTCGTCCGCTGGAGAAATGGCTACAACCGTGACACTAAACACCGGTGCGCAAATGCCCATCGTGGGACTGGGCACGTGGAAGGTGTGTTTTGGTTAATATTCAATGTTTTGTTATCGATCGTTGGTTAAAAATTAACTCGTTACGTAAGACAGCTGAACGTGCCAACAGAAAGCAACGAGTCGCTAAAACCACCGCTGACTTTCCTCAAAACACCAGCTAGATACAGTAATATCAGTTCGGCAGTAACTGCATGCTGTTTAACGAGTAACTGTGGTGGATATTTTAGTTCAGTTTGTATACCCACGGCTGATATAGAAACCGTGGCTAATGCTTAGCAAGCAGCAGGTTCATGAAAACCCGTTCGTCGAGTGCAATATCCGGGTTCAAGTTACGCTGCACAGACTGAGAGCTAAGGTCAGCCTTATCTATTGCATGCTCTACTTTTATTCAGTGTAACCCAGATAAGTCACAATTACCTTAACTCAAGTGCAGTTATGGACACCTACAATGCTGTTTAAGGTCTTGCCTTTCTTTTTTTAGAAAGCTTTTTCCAGTCAGGATATAGCCCGATGTCTGCTGTTTCCTGCTTTACAGCACGTGTTTTCTTCCATGAAATATCCTATTATAGTTGCACTTAGTATTGGCCAAAAAACAGATGGGGTGTAAATTCCTTTTTTTAATCAAACAGTCCCAATAGCTAAACTGGGGGACACAATCAGGAACTAAATCTCTCTTTTAGCTGAGAGACTGCATTTGCGCGAAATTCTTATTTGAGTTACTCTGAAGCAAAATAATGCAAATCATGAGCTGTTCATATGCTGAATACTGACACCATATAAAAAAAGTATGTATGTTATTATGTCTGAGCCACAATAAGTAACCATCCCCGTCTTTTCCAGTCTCCCCCTGGCAAGGTCACCGAGGCGGTGAAAGCAGCCATCTCAGCGGGTTACCGGTACATTGACGGAGCGTATGTCTACGAGAACGAGGCGGAGGTGGGAGAGGGTGTCCGGGCCATGATCAAGGAAGGCGTGGTCAAGCGAGAGGATCTCTTCATTGTCAGCAAGGTGAGTTGTGGGTTCATGATGTACACATGCTTATTTCTTCCACAAAAAGGCTACGGAACCGATGTTGCCTATATATTTAAACATGCATGCTTGCTCGTTGACCTCCCAGTCCTTTTCATTTTTATAGCTGTGGAGCACTTTTCATGAGAAGTCTCAGGTGAAGCAAGGCTGCGAGAAGACCCTCAGTGACCTTAAACTGGACTACCTCGACCTCTTTCTCGTGCATTGGCCCATGGGTTTCAAGGTAGGCACAGTCTCGTGAGCATTGTCTGTTCTCTGTGTGCATATATGAATCAGCAGGAATGTGCAGCCTCCATATCGTCAGTGTCATAGTAATGTGGTGTAGACCTCGGGGGCTATTGATGCTTTTGTCATGTTACAGGCCGGCAGTGAGCTTATCCCTTTGGACAGCGCAGGAGAGACGATCAGTGACGATACTTACTTCCTGGAGACATGGGAGGTGAGTTAAACAGACAAACCTGTCAAAACCTGTCAAAACCTGTCAAACCTGTATGTGGTTCATGTTAGGATTTAAGAGCAGAATCATTGAATTGAAAGTTCATGTCTCCATGTCATGTGACAAATTAGAGCTTTTTTAAGAGGCACAAATAGGATTTAGTATGAGCTACAGTTTCTCAACCAAAACTCAGCCATGAGATGTTTTTTTTTTTTGTTTTTTTTATGGTCAATTTTTCAGGGAATGGAAGAGCTGGTGGACGCCGGCTTGGTCAAAGCTATCGGTGTCTCCAACTTCAACAAGGACCAGATTGAAGCCATTCTCAACAAGCCAGGCCTCAAGTACAAGCCTGCCGTTAACCAGGTACTCCCAAGACATTTGTATCACACAATATTTCTAGCGATTATTTTTTTTTTTTTAAAGGACACATTTGTTTTTCAATTAGTTGAATCTGTTAGGATGCCAGACACGCACTGTGGCAATATCTCCATGGGGCAGTAAGCCAGTCAGCTGTTTTTGAAGCTATATATAAACTACATGTGTGTGTGTGTGACACATTTCCCTTTTATTCTCAGTGCAGGGCTGCATCCCCAAACGTAGTAAAGTTGATTTTTTTTATTTATTTTTTTTGGAACAAAAGATTAGATTACTTGATTGACAGATTAATGGAGTATCAAAATCGTTACCAGTTTGCAGCCTCTCTGAGCCACAAGAAAACAGATGCACGTCAAGTTTGCTGTTCTTAAAGAGCAAAGGGGCCATAATGGCATCATCCGTCTCCTCGTATCAGGTCTGAGAAATAAATGTCCTGTAAATCCGTAATGGGCCGCAGCAGTTTCCCCTCAGGCTGCACCAATTAGCTGAGGTGACCTTATATTCCTGCTGGTTTTCAGAACCATCCTTCACCATCAATGTCTTGCTTTGTTTCGCTGTTTATTCGATTAAAGCGCGGAAACAAAGGACTCTCTTATATCGAATAGGAGCCAATTTATCCCTAAAGACAACCATCAAATAACAGTACAGTAGGCAGTTTGAAGCCGACCACATAAACTCCCCTTTTGTTTTTGAAATGCATCGTAAGAGTGGTGTGTTTGTCCCGCTAGGTGGAGTGCCACCCGTACCTGACCCAGGAGAAGCTGATCAACTACTGCCACTCTCAGGGCATCGCCGTGACGGCCTACAGCCCGCTGGGCTCCCCTGACAGACCCTGGTCAGTTGTGTCAAAATAACTCGAGACAGGACTTGTAACCGCACTGCTACAACATCATGACCAACAGTTTTTTGGAAATGCTGATTCAGTATTATGTCTTTGGTTGGTTTTAACTTGTGACTGTGGTTCCTCTTTGTGAATGTAGTTTGTATGTGACATATTCTGTCCTGATTTAGACATTATTTAATGATCTTGTTTTGTTTTGGTTTTTATGTTTGTTTTTTTATGTGTCTTTTTTCACATCTGCCCACCTCTGTCGCAGTGTTTGATTCTAGTTAAGTTCATCCAGAGTTAGCCCTTTTCTGAGGTATCTCCATTATTTTGTCCACCTTTTGACTGTCAACAAAGTAGTGCAGGTCCTCTATATAGTACAGGATGATGCAATTTTTATATTACAGGGCTAAACCTGAAGACCCCTCACTGCTGGAAGATCCCAACATTAAAGCCATAGCTGAGAAGCACAAGAAGACACCCGCTCAGGTACAACACTGAACTAAACACACTTTATATAGTGTTTGTGCTCACACAATAAAAATAATGCTTGTTCCTCTTTTCTCTTAAAGAAGAATGTGCAAATACCATGCACGTGGCCCTCACTGTTATTAAACTTGTAGTTCTGACCTTTTGATCACGTTCACATGTTAATACCCTTTCTCCTTCACTGCCAGGTCCTGATCCGCTTCCACATCCAGAGGAAAGTGATCGTGATCCCCAAGTCGATCACACCTCACCGCATTCAGGAGAATTTCCAGGTAATTAGCTGTGGGACTTTTTCAGATGTTTTCCAGGATTAGCCCTCCAATGTGCCTCACTTAACTTGGCTCCTGCATGAAGACTTGTTTAAATCTCTGCAGGTGTTTGACTTTGAACTAACTGAGAAGGAGATCAAGACCATAGTCGGATTCAACAGGAACTGGAGAGTCTGTCCCATGCAATGGTGAGATCATATATCCTTGTTTTCGTTTGTCTTTGTAATATTGTTAAGATGTCGCGAGTCAGGCAACGTTTTTTTTTTTAATTTCCCTTTCTGTTTTTCTCTCCATAGGAGCTTGAAGCACAAGGACTATCCATTCAGCACTGAGTTCTGAAATGGATAAAAATGCAGATGTTTCCACAGGTTTACATTGGGGTACTGGATTTTGCATCTCTTAGCTGCTCGCTTCGCTATTTCTTAAGTGCAGTTTGCAAAACATGTGTGGCCTTGATTCAGATTTTTATTTGAATATATTTCTCAGGAGAAATATTCTTCAGGAATCCATTTTGTCTCCACGAAAATCAGTTTTCCTTTATTAAATCCCAATTTGAGATGCTCATTTGACACAAATCATGACCATTGGGTATGAGTTTTGCACTAGTATATTTCAGTGTTCATGTCCTTTCTATCAGCCAGCAGACAAGTGTCTTAGCTCCCTTGATTTTTTTTTTTTGGCTGTCTTGCCGAGTCTTACTGTAGAGTAAATTCTAGGGTGTTACTTTGCCGTTCAGTACAGATTCACTCATTTTAAAGTGTGTAACAGCTCTGAGAACAGAATTAGCATGGACCTCAGTCATTGTATTATTTGTCGTTTTACAATTGGCACGTTTGAGGAAAAAAAAGTTTATTCTCATAAAAGATCAAATCTGTATTTAAGATGACACATTTTTCACAACACAGATCTTTAAAGCACTCCTCATTTGACTAAACTTGTTTTTCCTTTATGTCAGCACTTATAAATGCAAATTAAAAACACTATTTACTCTGTCATCCGAAGACAAGTCAAGGTATGTTCTGCTTTTTACAGAGTATTTCTCATATTTACTTGTGAGTCATAGATGGTGCTTTAACATCATGTGTGTTAACCCTGTTGTGAAATTGTCACTTCCACTTCTCGTGGGAGCTGTTTTTTGTTAAGCATCAAAATAAAGTCCTGTGGGAGAAAATATAACACAGCAGTGAAGAGACGCTGTTCAAATGAAAGTGTGTGTGTGTGTGTGTGTGTGTGTGTGTGTGTGTGTGTGTGTG